GTCTTCACTTCATAAGAGATACAAAAGTGAAAACCAAAAATAACGACTAAAAGCAAACAGTACAGTGAATTCATCTTAAACATCAGTTAAATAATAAAAAAAAAACAACCCAAAACAGTGATAAATTGAAACAACTGGGAACAGACAAAGAGCGGCTTGCGTGTAAGAATTTTCTCCGAACGTAGAATTTTTACTCTACACCTGCAACAATTAGAAATGTACAGTTTGAATTACATGTATATTCCAACACGGATACATCATTTTCCTTGTATTCAGTTCAAAAACCAGGCAGACGAATGTGGAAGATGCTCACTTGCTTCTGTTTTAAACTATCAATAGAAATTGAAACCACATCCCATGGAAATTTGTCACCTTCAGTACTGAATCTCTCTTTTCGACTATTTCCGGAAAAAAAAATAAATGCAAAAGCCTTGCAGTTATCCTTCCTCACGACATGCCGGTTTTAGCGTATGACTAAAACGTGCAATGTCCGGAAAAAGAATGCACTTCCTAGCTGGAACCGTTCACCTGTCTCTTCAAATGGTCCCTGATGAGTGACCACTGGCCACGGCACCCCCCGGCCCTATACTGTGCCAAGACTGATCCCAGGTGTCCAGATCACCACTGCGGTCAGTTTATTTATAATGCCGCGACTCATTCTATGTGGTCATTTTTTTAGCAAAGAAGACAAAAAATATATATCTAGTCATCGTTTTATACAAGGCTAGAAGACTGAAATTTTGCATTTGCTAGATACCGGTACTATATGTGAGAAAATACAAAAAAAGCAAAATTTATTGTAAAAATGTAGTTTTGCTGAAGAACACTGTTGGGTCTGTTTATAGTACCTGCTCTTTTGGTCTAGTTAGAAAAAATAAAGATACAAAATTTTCCCTCCAGAAGGACAACAAAGCTGTATTTTTAAAGCCAATGAGTTTTTAGCTCACCTGAGCCGAAGGCTCAAGTGAGCTTTTCTGATCACATTGTGTCCGTCGTCCGTCCGTCCGTCCATCCGTCCGTCCGTCCGTCCGTCTGTCCGTCCGTAAACTTTTCACATTTTCGACTTCTTCTCAAGAACCACCGGGCCAATTTTGACCAAACTTGGTACAAAGCATCCTTGGGTGAAGGGGAATTTAAATTGTTAAAATGAAGGGACATATCCCCTCGCAAGGGGAGATAATCAAGAAAAGACAAAAATAGGGTGGGGTCATTAAAAAATCTTCTTCTCAAGAACCACTGGGCCAGAAAAGCTGAAACGTATGTGGAAGCATCCTGGGGTAGTGTAGATTCTAAATTGTTCAAATCATAACCCCCGGGGATTAGGCGGGGCCACAATGGGGAATCAAAGTTTTACATAGAAATATATAGGAAACATCTTTGAAAATCTTCTTCTCAAGAACCACTGGGCCAGAAAAGCTGAAACTTATGTGGAAGCATCCTGGGGTAGTGTAGTTTCCAAATTGTTCAAATCATAACCCCCGGGGATTGGGCGGGGCCACAATGGGGAATCAAAGTTTTACATAGAAATATATAGGAAAAATCTTTGAAAATCTTCTTCTCAAGAACCACTGTGCCTGAAACGCTGAAACTTATGTGGAAACATCCTGGGGTAGTGTAGATTCTAAATTGTTCAAATCATGACCCCCGGGGATTGGGCGGTGCCACAATGGGGAATCAAAGTTTTACATAGAAATATATAGGAAAAATCTTTGAAAATCTTCTTCTCAAGAACCACTGTGCCAGAAAAGCTGAAACTTATGTGGAAGCATCCTGGGATAGTGAAGATTTTAAATCATACAAATCATGACCCCCGGGGGTTGGGCGGGGCCACAATTGGGAATCAAAGTTTTACATAGAAATATATAGGAAACATCTTTGAAAATCTTCTTCTCAAGAACCACTGTGCCAGAAACGCTGAAACTTATGTGGAAGCATCCTGGGGTAGTGTAGATTCTAAATTGTTCAAATCATGACCCCTGGGGATTGGGCGGGGCCACAATGGGGAATCAAAGTTTTACATAGAAATATATAGGAAAAATCTTTGAAAATCTTCTTAATAACAACTGGGCCAGAAAAGTTGAAACTTATATGGAAGCATTCTGGGGTAGTGTAGATTTCAAATTGTCTAAATTATGATCAGTGGGGTAGGGTGGGGTCACAATATGTATTACAAGGGGTAAATCTAGTAAAGGACAGAATTGTCAAAGCTTCTCAGGTGAGCGATGCGGCCCATGGGCCTCTTGTTTTTTGTTTTTTTTTCTTTTTCTGATGGTTTCCTGGGTCCACCGTCACAAACCACGTTATTTGTACATGTAAGAAAAAATGTTCTCAAATCGTTTAACGACGGGGATTTTGAATATTCATGGCTGAATTCCCAAGACTGATTTTTTATTTTTATTTTATTTTATTATTATTATTATTTATTTTTTTTTTTTTTAGAATTTTCGAAGTTTCATGAACCCCTTAAGTCTGAAATTAAGTTTTGGAATTTTCAATTTTCTTTGGGAGACCATTCTGTCCGAAAAACGTTTTTTTTTAAAAAATACCAAACTCTGTTTCTCAGAAGACCTCTCATATTGTAAATGCTAAGCACTGTAGTAGGTAAACCATATCACTGTTTTGGAATATGATTTATGGGTCTTTTAGTTGTGCAGCTTTCCCCAATATTCAGCTCAATAAAATGATGTAAAATTATATAATTATAAAAATGCAAAAACTATATTAGACAGAGATTTTTTTTAAGAATTGTTTTTAGAGGTTCAAAGTTAACAATAACAGCGGTTATGACGGATACATGGCATTTAATACACTATTATTGAAGCAAAAGCAAACATTTAAAAAAAATCAGTAAGTCACAGCTCTACGCTTGAATTAGAAAAAAAACTCGGCTTGTAGCCATAGACATATGATATGATTGACAGATCTCTTCATTGATAGACCAATTAGTGTGTCGTGATGTGACACCAGAAATCGATAGTAGAATGGACTGTATGAGTAATAACTGCAAAAACTGAATAAATTAGGAAGCACATTTCCGTTAATCCGTTCCTTCTTTTTCGTGCTGACAGGAAGAAATGCATCACAAAATCTGACATGTCTAAGCAAATTTATTTTTTTCATTGATGGAGGTGGTGTGAGTTGGTGTTATCATTTATTGCCATGTAAAATTTGACGCCTTTTCAATCGCAATTTACGAATGAAATATACTTGTACATGTTTATAAAAAATAGTTTTTCCGGCTACTGAATATGGAAAAAAAAAACGCATCCAGATGAAAAATAAATCTGTTCTGTAAGGTCAGTCGAGAGTTTAAATATTTTTCTTTACGAATTTTTTTAAAAGAAATGCTACAGTACTACATGTGTATACATCAATATTTAAGACCATTGGCATACATCATTACAAGCACAGGAGTCTGAAGTTTTATTCGTCAAAAAAAAAAAAAAAAAAAAAAAGGAAAAAAAATCCGGAAAAAAAATTCCAACCCTCAACTAAAAAAACACTGACGATAAAAACTTCAGACTCCTGTGTTACCAGATACATATATTAGAAAATAGTGTTTCATACCTAATCTAATTATGACAGTTCCATAATTCAGACGAATTGTAAGACTTTTATAAATGATTTGAAACAGCGTATAAATTTAACAGAATAATGATATATAATTCATTTTTAGCCGGGCTTATTGCTCAAAGAGCAATTGCCGGCTTATGTGATCCTGTTCAAGGCAGGATGTTAACACCATAGTCGCCATTTCAAAGTTACGTGCAAAAATATAGTTCTTACTCTCAACCGCTTTTGAGATAATACAAACGCTAAATAAAGCAACAAAAATAAAACGAAGTTTTATCTATATAAAATAAACATTAGTAGTAATGACTTTGAAAACTTCATAAGTCAAAGAAAATAGTTCATTAGCGTAAGGATTTTTGATAATCAGTGTTACGGTTACCGTAGTTCTCTACACATACGAGGTAAAGCAGGAGGGGGAACCAGACTGGCCTGTTTGTTTACATTCAGCTGCGGTACCAGATTAATTCTGATTCTGACAAAATCGGACCGTGGTATTAGGATTGAAAAACTAACTGTCAGTGTCTTATCATTTATATTGATAGTTTTAAAATAATTTTTTCATCAGAATATAAACGTGATTCATGTAAGAAATCCATTCTATTCTGTAAATGAGCCCGGCTCTCTGTACTTCTGAATACTTTGATTAGAAAGTGCTATCACGATATTCAAGGATCATAGGTCCTTAGATCTCTATGGGTTGACTTGAAAAAGGTTAGAGAATAAAATAAGTGAGGATTCTAGGATCCGCAACTCGTTAAACAGAAATTGAAACACTCTTCAGTCACTCTTTAAAGGCAACATTATTTTACGCCTACATGTATATGCAATAAAAAAAAAATAAAATCTTATCCTACAAATAGACTCTGTATTTTTAAAATAATTGACCATGCATATAAATATAAATGAATCTGCAAACACGATAGCCTTCAAATAGGTCAAAAATAAGGATCATCGTTTCACAATATTATCAAATGGAACACTTACTACTGGTCATCAAAAGGTCATCAGAAACGAAGAGAAATTGATAAAGGAAGAGGTACAATGCTTTGATGAATGTTGTTAAATGACGCTTGAAATGCATGTAATGAAGCAAGAAACAAATTCGTAGTATTACTTGCTTGACAACTACATGTACATGAATTTTAGTGAAAGCCAATTTATTCTGACCTTTACCCTTTTTTGCAAAAAGATCCCTCCCTGCTCTATGGCCCTGAGTGCCGAGCATAGGGCAAAAATTTGTAGCTCTCTACCGACAAATGATGACGTCTCCATAAGAGTGAAACATTCTTAAGAGGGACATTAAGCAACAGTCAAACGATCATTTAACTGAATGTGGTCAAAAATATATGAAACACTTTTATTTCTTTTAATGACAAAAAAAAAAAAAAAACCAATGTCAGGCAGTCATTAGAAACACTTTTATTTCTTCTACTGTTAAAACAACCAGTGTGAAACAGACATTACTCTTAATTTATCTTCCATCCACAGAAAGAGGTTCTCCCAACAGGATCACTTTCGATATTGCCCAAATTATACGCCTGATGTGTTCTCACGAAAACATCCACCCCTTTCTCCAGTTGGGCCACGGCGGTACCACTCACATTCTCGTTGTCACCGTCACGGACCGACAGATACACCGCGTCATACTCTTGATTGTCAACTACAAGCTGAGCTGAATGGTACGAGTTTCCGTAAAGACGGATAGACCATGCAAATACATAGAGGCCTGACTCCGGGGCGACGAATATTCCAGAAGCGCGGTGATAGCCATTTCCTACGTTCAGTTGGACAGTTTCGAAGATTATAGTTTCGTGTCCATGCGGCGTTTGTTGTCCCGCACTCATGTAGGCTTGAAATGCAACTGGTACGGTTAGGGAACCAGTCAACAATCGTTCTACAAAAGATGACATGTCATATAATAGATGTTATCGATGCCTTAATTAATAGATATAAAAAATACTAAAGACCTAGTAAAAACATGCCAAGCATCACCTCTCTGATTTTACCCCCACCCCCATGCAACCCCCTATTTGTAAAATTCATATCTGAAAACTATTTCTAGCGCCATAAATGTACATATATGTACAATGGTAATCAAAATAATAGCTTAAGAAGACCAATTAAACAAAAAATTGTTATGATAAATTATTTGCTAAAAAACATTGTTCAAATCAATTAGCTATAAACGAAAACGTACTCATTAATGCGCGCGTCTTGGTCTCATCGGGTTTCTCGATTCCAACGTCCCTTTTAATACCCAGCTCTTCTCCATCGCTTCCATCTAGTTTTGCAATATCTAAACTGGTACTCAGTGTGTTGGAAATCGCACGTAGCTTAACGTCTTGCCCGTGGATATGTCTTTGTAAATCTTGAATCATCTCTTCCATTTTTTCCATCTCTTTCTTTTGATTTGAAACCGTGACCTGAAGGGCAAGGTTAATGGATTCCAATTGTTTAAAGCGATTGTCATAATCACCGATTAGTTTTTCTAGACGTCCAACAGTTTTACGCAGTGTTTGTACCTCATGTCTCAGCGTCGTGGCATCTTCAGCGAGGTTCTTACCGAAAAATCCAAACAAATAAAGGAAACTTACCAACCACGAACCGAGACGGAAAATACTGCAAGCCATGTTTGGAAGTTATGTAAGGTGATTAAAACTTATTCATATCGTTACCTTTCTTATCTAACAAATCGGGACTTAGAATATTTTATCTTGTTATGATTTCACCGTGTATCATATTGCTTGGCACAAATAAAATACTAAAACAATTATAGATATGTTTTATAATGAATTTAATTTCCAGTTTAATACTTGATTTCAAATTTAAATAAATAAAAATGTAATGATAAGTGCAGAATGACATTTTACTGATTGAATCTAATCTGACACTTGAATAATCCAACATTACAGCGAATTCCGACGTTCAAGTCTTTCTTTTCCCATTTTACTACTTTCCATGTTTTAATGCTGTGCAATCCGACACCTTGTGTATTCCGACACACCATTTGTCTCCAAGTGCATGTCGGATTAAGTTTTATCATTTTAAGTACAAGATGCTTAAAGACTAGCATAAAAAGAAATCATTTGTCAAAAATTCTGGTGGTGCGGAGATAAGCGCATTTGCCCTAGAGTCGCGGATAAGGAGTTGATCTCAATGTCGTGCGTTCAAATCCCATTAAAGGACGTTGAGAGTGTCCTTCGGATGAGACCAGAAAATCTGAGGTCCCATGTCGAAGTAGGTGCTGGCAAATTCCATAAGGGACGTGAAACAAACAAGCAAAAACATCTAATTCAAACAAATGGAAATTCGTCTTTTTCAAGTAAAATATCCAAATATGAAACAGACTTTTTTGGTATCTTTTGTCTAGAACAAGTAACAAATAAATATTTATAAGAGGTCCATGGGCCACATCGCTCACCTGAGAAGCTTTGATCATGCCATTCTTAACCAGATTTCCCCCTTATAATACCTATTGTGACCCCATCGTTTCCCAAGGGTCTTAATTTGGACAATTTAAATTCCCTATTGTGACCCCACCCAACCCAGGGGGTCATGATTTCAACAATTTAGAATCTACACTACCCAAGTATGCTTCCACATCAGTTTCAGCTTTTCTGGCCCAGTGGTTCTTGAGAAGGTTTTTCCTATGTATTTCTATGTACACTGTCACAACCAAGCTTCATTGATAAACGTAATGACTCTAACTTGTTAATCACTAACTTCCCTTACTTACATGTATGCGGCAAAATACCTTCATCATCTGCATACGGGGACAGTTGATGCGATACAAAAGAGCATACTTTGCGTATGTTCAATTTCTTAAATGAGGTTTATAAAAAAAAAATGAATGGAACAAGCAGTCTCGTTTAAAGTCATCATTTTGTAAGTTCTATGGGTCTATGAATATTTCCGTTATTTTTCGATCATGACAAGGAGCACACGGTGGGTGTGACCGATCGGTAAGGGATACTCACACCTCCATGGCACCTGATCGCTTATGTTTTGAGGTCCATAATTTTCTGCTCCTATATATATTTAATTGACTGTTGAGCTTGATACTGTTCGTCATTTGATTCAATTCTCATGCAAATACATGTAACACTGACTAATTATAATAAAATTAATACTTTTCCTTTCTTTACATTGAACCTGAACAGTTTTTTTTCCTGAGAAAAGACCTTGAACGGATATAGAACTTTATCCTTGATGTGGAGGGAATGGTTCGTGATAAAGCAAAGAAAAAATACTAAGAAATTCCAAATTACTCTGTTTTTGAAAATAAGAAATTCCAAATCATTTTCTTCTTGACAATAGAATTGAAAAAGAGACATTAATACATAACCCTATGTCTCTGCGTGAGTAGAAGATTACAATATTAAACGTATGAAAATTTGGTCAAAGATTATAGAATATATACCTAACTTCTTTATATTAAAGTCTCGTATTATCATAAACATAAATACTAGTAATAAAAACTATCTTATCTTTGGTCTTTTTTGTTCTTTTGTAGTTTCAGTTTGATTTCAAATGAAGGGATCACATTCTTTTTGAAAGCATCAAATTAAGAATAGAAATGGGTATCTATATTTTGGACCCAATATTTTGGTCTTTTTAAGTGTAACACTGTCACAGTTTCAACCTTCCACATTCCCTTTTGCTCGTTTTCGTATCCTTTGTCAATCTTATCTGTGGGAATGGCTTCTCTGTTTTGAAAAAAAGTAAAGATCTTAATACCTTTATTTTTTTTTGTATGCTACACAACATTTCTATCGAAAATATGAAGGTTAATGAACCAGAAAAAATTTGAGTTTCCCTAATCATTTAAACTCTTTTAATACATAAGTTACAGGATGTCACGAAGACGTAGCATCTGCTTTATTATTTTTTTAATTAACAAAGTCATCATAATAAGTGTATATGTCAAATAGTTAGTAGGAGGATATATTTTGGAAAACAAGATGATCAGGCTCCGGGACCAGAAGAGGAAATAACTGGAATTACTACTCTCCACGAAACACACTATAGTCAATTTAAGACCCACGGTTATCCTTTGTTTTGTATGCAAGAATTTACGTCCATATGTGTAAGTGACCCATCCTGGTGCAAATATTGCTGACCTCAGTGGAAATCTGCCATTTTAACTTTTCTTTAATGTTGTGTAGGGATAGCCAGCTCTTCATTGAAAATATGCCTACGTGCAAATATGTGTGATTTACACTTCAATAACTCGTACTTAACTTAAAATCATTTCTCATATTTGTATTTACTTAATGATGTTTTAATTTCATGTTTCCCGTATAATATCGTAACATATTCATATTTATTAACATCTCCGTAACCTCATTGTGATGTCACTTAAGCGCAGATTTTTCATGTTTATTTCTCAGCGTGAGTATACACGAAAAAGGCCAGTCCGCTTAGCAGAAAAAACACAACAACTATGAAATTATACATTTGTAGAAAAGCTGAAGAGCAGACTAGTATAAGGAGCAGAATTACAAGGTATTTCTAACATGTGTCAATTGAAAAGAACTGAAAAGGGGCATGAGGATGTAATTAGTTATAAGATCAAATATTTGATCCTTCAAAATGAAAACGCTAATTATATTTATGATTAATTTCATGTTCTTAAAAGCCAAAATAATAATAATAATAATAATAATAATAATAATAATAATAATAAAAAAATAATAAATTTCATGTTGACTGACAGAATTGTCCATGGATATAAATTTCTAATATTACATAACTGTCATGTAATTTTTAAAGCTTCTGATCTTATGATAAAGAATGATGTTTGAATTGGAAACAAATCTTTGCTCCAATCAAACGTTTTTTTGTAAATGAAATAAATTGAACGGGATTTGACATGTTCGTCATAAAACTTTTTCCCAGCTTCAATATTCTGTGTAACACCTAATTGGAAACCAACGCCTCCTTTGATCAATAGTTTCATACATAAAGTTCATTAAGTTGATTGAATGGGATCTAAAGTATTCGTGATAAAACTTTTTTCCCTTCTAAAGGTGACAGAGCAATATTTATTAAAAATCATTTTCTATTTTTTAAGAACTAGCTGAGCCATGAATTATTTTATTTGCTAGTAGTCCATTCGTGATTTGGTATTCATTCATGAATTCTACTCATCAATTTTTATTGGACAGTAAGTTTGTACCCCCAGTACATTTGTAAATCTTGTTTAACCGGTTTTTCTTCTATAAATACTGAGGCACGTGCCCATTCCTATCAGTGCAGGAAATTCAACTCTTACCAATCACCAGCTGCCCGTTGTGACCACATGAAAGGTAAATGTTTCTATTAAGTTTTTAAAAACTTATCTGAAGTTCAAGTAATAAGCTTAAGTATTTTTTCATATTTCTGAAATAAACATTTTTTAAACTCGGAAATAACCAAAATATATTGGCTTTGTATAGTTAAAATTTCTGAATTTTGAAGCGTGTTAGAAATTATTTACCTTTAGAAAAAATTCTGTTTGTCTATGCGTATTATGACATTGTATTATTCAATTGTACTTGAATATGTTGCAGATTTGCCATTGTTTTCTCTTTTTGTATTAAATTTATAAAACATGGCTTGCGTTCTTTATCCGATTGGTTATAAACAGTATTCTGTTTTTGCTACTATTTAATTTTATCTGAAACATGTGGTTCCGCTGTCTTATAAAAGGTCCGCATATCATTTTTATCATGCATGTATTCCCACCATTTTTATCATGTTTTGATATTTTTGTTTGCCATGTGGTACTAGTTTAAGTCTGCAACATGAGATATGGATATCACAAACATTATTCAATCTCAAAGCTCCATTAAACAATACAAAATAAGGAGCAGTCTTATAATTTATATTGACTTCAAAAACATCAGAATATAAAGGTGGGGTCAGGTGCCATTGATTAAAACTTTGATAATGAAATATTAATCAATTTGTAGTTTGATGAACAGATTAAGAAAGCAAAGCCATTTTTTGTGGTTTTTTTTATATGTTTCATATGTATTGCAAAACATTTCAATATAATGAAAATGTTCTAACACAAAAAGTAATATTTTTCATTTTGATATGAAGACATTGATGAAGAAGTCAGGTTGTCTAGCATTTTCAAGGAAATCTGATAGCAACAATGTTCATTGAAAAAACGTGGCAATCCACGAAATCGTATCCTCCACAAGAAAATTTGAAAAAGAATTCTGTATTCAAAATTGGTGTCTTTCCTAGAGGAAATTTCAATGAGATTGATGAAAATCTTTGTATTAAGTTACCTCAACTATGTTTTAGTATACAGTGTATGTTAGATTTGAGGAAGTCAGATATTCTTTCTCGAACGAAATAATTCATGTATTGATATACATGTATACTATTTTTGAATTTTCATTCCATTTAAATTCATTTACAGTTCTAAAAACAAGAGTAAAAGAGTAATGTACAATCTTATTTGATATTCATTATGAAAAACACATATGGATTTTTTAACTTGATAATGGTTAGTTATCTCTATATATTTCATGCAATATGCAAATAATGTTGTTTTACAGTGACATGTTGTCAATTTGGTATTTTTGTACATTTTCATGAAATCTCAATCAAACGATCATTCATTAAATCATCATTGAATAAGAAAGAC